ATTTTTTTTATTTCCTTGAATGAGACGATTTTACGGGTACACGATTATTAAAACTAAATACATGCAGTTTAACATGGAAGAGCTCCCAAAATATATACATTCCGAGCTTTCAGAATACGAGAAAAAATGAGTAATTAGACATTTTTAAAAACAAAAATTGATTCTGAGAAAGCCGTGCAGTTTCATACATGCATTTATTCCAAGTCATTCTTTTATGTTTAATGGACTGAGAGATCTTTAAATTTTCTCTCATCGCAATACGTACATGTAACACTCCTTCCCTGAATCGATGCAATGTTTTCCTTCAGAGTTGAGAATGTCAATTGGTAAGTTTGTTCAGATACGTACAGGTCAAGGCTGGTGTTTAAATCCGAAAATAATCCATAACATTATAAAAATTATATATGTCAAGCATGCAGATAGTTTGGTTCTTGGTTTCGACAAAACGCATGTTGCCCTCGAACTCAGTCAATAAATAATGTTAACCAATAATCATACACGAGATATTTTTATTCGCCGATCCTCAAATGAATGGAAAAGAAACAAAGTCTGCAAAAATTATAGTATCCGTCACAAACTTTCCTATTTAAAATCATAAACTTTTTAATTTCTAAAGCTTATGCCCATTAGAGTATTCAATCAAGAATCGAAGTGTGTACACGAACGTGTATAATACATTTATTACTTTCTTTAGGTAAGTGGCGGTACATGTACAATACTAGTATACCAGTTTTCGCTGCGATTGATTTCCGGAATTCTGCACTGCATTTCTGACAATTAATTTCATTTCTAAACATTCATTATTTTCATTCTGGATTTTTACACTAGATTTCTAGCAATTAAAGTTGACAAAGTAGATAGAATCATAGTTTTAATAGAATATATTTGGTGAAAAGCTAGCTGTAGATCTCTAGCTCGCTAGCTGGGAAAATCACCAGAGAGCTACAGTGCCACCCATATTTAAAAAAATATATACTTATTGCGTACAAATAATACGCTCGGTTCTGGATTAATTTCTCCGAATCCTGACCTCAACTGCACAAAAGATGGATTTCAAAATGTTTCTGAAACCTCCATCAAGTAAATGTACTAGTACCTGACATCTGCAAGAAGCTCGTTGGACTGAATTATCTTGCTACCCAAAATGGTAGAATAGTAGAAGATATTTTGATATCTCAAATTCAGGCTCAGGAGGACTATTTAAAACAGTTGTAAGGGATGTTTTGTTGTAGAAAAAAATGAAGGAATGTGCTAGAGACACATTTCAAACCTTTTCAAATACTATAAATAATGAACTTTGATCTACAAGTTTTACCTGCTTTTCCAAAATTAGTTGTGAATAGGCCTGTCGAATAAAGTATTGCTTATATAATGCTGATCAGTGTGTCATGGCCTTGAATCAAAGTCATTTAGGATAAGATATTTTTGCAGGATGCATTGTCTGAAAGAACATGTGTGAAATTGTCAATACAGTAGCACATAAATGGGATATGCTCATCACCAGCGTGTGTAATGATATGACGCAGGGTCATTTTGACAAGGTCAAGGTCACAAACATTCCTATGCTATCTTATTTAATAGTAAAATGTTATAAGATGATATCTCCCTTTAAAAGATTGCTTTAACATTAGAATGTGGCATGACCTTGATACAAGGTCATTTCTCCCTACTCGTTGCTTTGCAACGAGCTCGGCTCTAGTTTTATAAGTATTATTTTAATTTTTTTTTAATAAAAGTGAAATTTTTTAAAAATATTTTTACTTTGAAAAAATAACACCTTGGAGATGTTTACGCTAAGTCTCCAATACTTAAGTTATCTAACCAGAAGTCTTATTCAATTTACAAATTTGAAAGTCCAAAGAGCAAGAGCCATCTTATGCATAAATTGGCCCTATACTTCTATCAATTAATTAACTTTCACCCTCTTTCCCCTTTCATATATCAAAAAAAAGTAGACACTTAGTGCTTTCATTTTCTGTAATAAAATTTTGCTTTGAGATTCCAGATATTGGAAAACAGGTTTGAGAAATTGCAATGTTCTTGAAAATTGCAGAAAACATGCGTTTTGACTACCTTCAGCAAAGAATTAAAATATGAGCACAGCCTACGATCCAAAAAAAATAAAACATGTTTTGATCTTCAGAAACAGAGCTTTCATTATGTACGAGGGTTGTTAGAAAAGTTGGCGGACAAGTTCTATTGTGAGCGTGCTATTTCCTCGAAACCGTTCAGATTTCCAGATAAAATCTTAAGTTAATTTCCAATAAATATACAAAAATTTGTTGCTTTTGCTACAATGAAATATCGTGTTCATCTCATATGTTTGTATTATAGCATTGTGGAATTCAAATAAAAAAAGAACTCAGTGACAGAATTCCCTTTTATCTTATTTTTTTAAATTTTCATAAAAATAAGTCAGACTCCGACAAAGGAACAATTCATTAATTATTCATATACAAGGTGGATCGAAACTTTGTATTAGACGATTTTTTTTCTCAACACAATGTTATTGAAAATATGTTTATGATTGAAGATAATTTGAACGCATATACTTGAAGTATTACAATACTTAAGTAATTTCAGACAATTTAAAAATACTTTAATATAAATAATATTAATATCTTGACCGTTTGTGTTGTTTGTTAAAAAAAAAAAAAGAAAGAACGAGATGAGATATTAAGAAACGATCTCTTAAAACTAAGGGATTTTATTTCAACCACTAAAGTATAAGTCACATTATCCAGCGATGGGGTATACGATGAGAAACCGATGCGTTTTTTATGAAAATGGCATGATTGCCGGCCGGGCACCACTAGTGATCGGACGGTGACTGAGGCCATTTTGCGAAAGTTGTATCGGTGGGGTCATCGGTAGGAAATAATTCGTAGTTAAAATTCTGCGATGTCTCCAACGATATCACATCACTCCTCATCGGTAACTTCATTAACACATCTTTCAAGGATCGGCCGATGTATGGCCGAGCATCGTCCAATATCCGTTGAATCAGAGGTATCAAAGGGTTGAGTGGTGTTCAAGAGATAATTGCCGATCACCGGTCGATTTTGTATTAAACATTGGCCCGTATTCTACCGACGTACGAACAATGTTCATCAATGTATAAGCGATGTAATATACATCGACCGATTATCCTGGAACATCGTTTTTTGATAAGCAATGCATCGCTGGGCCTTTGTAAGTCCGGCCGGCAACCACGCCATTTTTATCATAAAACGCATTGGTTGCCCATCGTATACAATTAATACCCATCACTGGATAATGTGACTGATACTTTAAGGACAACTAGGCCGATGTGGACCGATGTTGGAGCATCGCTAACACCACGGATTACCACCGATTACCACCGGTCTACGGCTACCGGCCGGGAAATGTGACCTAGGCATTAGTGTGTGTCTACTTTAAAAAAGAGGGCTTCATATTTTAGCGGCTTCGGCGCAGAATGGATGCACTTATTCATGACTACCGCTAAGAAATCATTTCTAGATATATACAATATAAAAACGGACATGTGTACCTCTAATTCATGATTAAGCCAACATCTCCATACCCAGTTATTGCGCCAAAATTTGAATACGCCAACGTATGTACATGTACTTTATATTAATGTTCAATTTTCCTTCTGATTTAAATAATACATCGTTTTTATTTTAGTAATTTTCCTTGTCTCAATAATAAGTTTTAATTACTTGACTTGAAACTCGTATATTTATATTTTTACAGATATTATTCTTCTCAATTAAATTTCATTTTAGTAAAAAAACATCTATCTACAAATAGTGTCGATAATATATCAAGAATTTTGAAATCTTTATTGTTTGTAGAAAAAAAAGATGACCGAAGACAGTGAAAATGCAGGAAATTACCAAACTCCTAATACAGAACGCCACAAGGAGGATTTTGTTCCGCCGGACGGGGGCTGGGGCTGGGTTGTATGTTTCACGTCGCTTATGGCCAATGGAACAGTTTTAAGCATTCTGAACACTTTCGGAATACTGTATGTATACCTTCTCAAGGAATACGCGAAGGACGATCTCTCTTATTCATTTAAAACCTGTAAGTCTAAAAAAAAATACATCGAAGGACACATAATAAAAAGATACCTGCCATTGAAAACAAAATTTAGAACTTTTTGTTAAAGAAATTGATACATATAATATATTTCTTTAAATAAAATGAAATTATGGCCTTTCTAAAATGGTAAAAATTCGGTCTTTCTGCAACAATTGTCATTAATTTATACATTTTTGTCCCTTTAAAATCCAAAGGGTGTAGGTGAATCTTGGAAGGAAAAATAAAACGTATATATGCTGTTCAACTTATTCATTTTCTTATAAAATCGTGACCAAAAATTTATTATATTTTGTCAAACGTAAACAAGAATTGAAAATGTGCAAATTCAATTCGATAAAAACTTGTTATGTATGTGCTTAAATTCTCCAATATACAGAATCTAAATTAATTTTCCAGCTCAAATAACAATTAACCGATGACATCTGAAGTTCTTTCAGTTTATTTTGTTGCTAATATCCTTTGATGCATTAACTTTGAAACTAGTTATTTGCAGAGACATTTAGATAAATTATGCTAATAAAGAAATTATACTTTGGGGGTATGCAATTAAATGACTATTTAATATACTGCTATTTACAGTATATTTATGACACATTTAAAGGTAGAACATACTGTTAAGGACAATATAATGCATGTCTGGAAAAGTTGACCTATTTTACATTTTTGAAATAATGAAAAAAAAGTTCAGCCTGTGTGGAAAGTTGTCAAAGTTTAATTAGAAACTTATGTCAATGAATATATATATATATTTTTTCTCAATTCGCTCTTATTATGAGTGTTTTTATAAACCCAAAATATTGTTAAAATTTGATTAAAAATGGAAAATTTTGAATTTTGTTAAGAGGGCTAAAAAGCAACTTCCGCTCAATTAATCTATCTCATATGATGTAATTTACTTTTTCAGCATGGATCGGTTCTACCTGTATAAGTGTAACATATTTGATGAGCATCTTTGCAAGCATGTGTAAAGATCGCTTTGGATTTAGACCAACAGCATTTCTGGGGGCATTTTTAGGCGTTGTAGGATTATTTTCTAGTGCATTCATACAACAACTCGAGCTACTGTATTTATCATTTGGCCTCATACTTGGAGTTGGTTTAGGATTTACATATTTTACCTCATTGGTTATTCTTGGACACTACTTCAAAAAGCATATGGGCATTGTGAATGGTATCGTTTCGATGGGAAGTTCAATTTACACTGTATCCCTGTCACTTGTTCTTCCAACTGCGCTAGAATCTCTAGGCATCAAGTTTACATTTATTATCCTATGTGGATTATATTCCATGCTTCTATTGTGTACTCTTACATGGAAACCATTGTTGTACAGAAAATATGACAACACTGAAATGGTAGTGTCGAATGAAACATACCTTGACAAAAAATGCAGCTGTTCGACTAAATACTACCTGAACTGGAAAGTGTTTGGAAATCGTACCTATTTTGTTTGGTTCCTAGGATTTATCGTTGCTTTCTTCGGTTACATTGTACCATTCGTACATTTAGTAAGTACATATTATTTCGTATCATGATAATATCGAATCTCATTTTTGCAGGCACCTGTTATATAAAAGAAATAAGCATCTATTAAGAAAATTTAAAATAAGCCTAATCGATTGCATAACGATTGTTCTTTCTCTAAGGTCATACAAACAGACGAATTGTTACGATATTTCAACCTTGACCGAAAAAAAACAGACCATACGGTTATGAAGGATTGGATTGTTTTTGCTTCATTTTTCAGAATTTTATTCAACCAACTAAGGCAGACTTTTCTTTATGGAAATATCGATTAGAAGCACCAGAAAGATTTTATTAGGGGGAAGCTTTGGAAGCTATAACCTCTTTCAAAAAGTCATACTTCTCTTATCATATTCTAGTTAATGTTAACATACAACAAATCTTTAAAAGTAAATTTTAATGATAAAAGTTTTAGCCTTTTATAAATTCAGTAAATTTTTAGATTAATATTTTCGAGATATGCAAGTTCACAAATAGAGTGTGTTTTTCAAAACTCTGATCATTTTCTGATCTTATTTTCATTTAGGTGAAACATACACAAGACACTTTCCCTGGAAGTAATGCCTTTATTCTTATTACCTGCCTGTATGTTACATCAGGTTTCGGAAAAATCGTGTTTGGAAAAATTGCGGATTTGAAATGTGTGAACAGAATCTACATGCAGCAATGCGCTTTTGTACTCATGGGAGTTTTGGAAGCTTGTATTCCCTTTTCAGAGAAATTTGAAGGACTTATTGTTATCTGTCTAATTTTTGGAGTATGTGATGGGATCGTTGTGTGTTTGATAGGTCCGATTGCGTTTGACATTATGGGTCCAATAGATGCATCACAAGCAATTGGATTTTTGCTTGGAGGATTTTCTATTCCATTTGCTGTTGGGCCTCCTATTGCTGGTGAGAATTTTTTTTGTATTTGGCTCAAGAGAGCATGCATATAGAATTGTGTATGTTTTTGTACATTTTTTTTTTTACTTTATTTTATTTAAAAAATTTCCTCTCCGATACGTTTTTGTCTGCGAGCGTTCTCAGACACTAAACATATGATTGAGAGGAAACCATAGAGTATTTAGAAGATGTACGGAAGGGAGATTATTTTGCACGCATATGCGTGCAAGTGCATGAATAATATACCCAGAAGAGACATTTCTTGATGAAATACTTTGAATCTCACAACATAAAGTATAAACGTAGCATAGACAAGATGACATGGTCAAATATGCATGAGTTCATGCTCATACTTGTGTTTATATGCGCATCGCTTTGATTGGATGAAACAAAAATTCCAAAATATTTTTTTTTTGCTTTTGATAAAATCCTTGGAGATATATAATTGAGCCTCGTCGGATAGAAATCGACCTTATGGCAAAATTTATCGAATTTGAGATATTTGTGTATTTTAGTGGTCCGTGTAAAATCACGACAAAAACTGAAAACAGAATAAAAATATCTTCATTTATAACAAAGTTATTACATTTTGAAATTGGTATGTTTGCAAAATTAACTCTGAACATATCATAGTTTTTCGACGATTCAATTGTGACGTCATGTTTTTTTTTCTCAGTTGTTCAGTTTGGGCACCTGTCATCACTTAGCAATCCAAGTGGTCATCATGTTTAAATTATACAATATGCTTAATTATGACAAAAATAGTTGATCATAACCGGTTTATCTACAATCCCAAAAAATTGTGTTAACTGTATTTTAAATCCTTTAAAACCCGAATACCCCCCCCCCCCCGAAAAAAGATATACTTTTCTGTCTTTCGTACAGACAAATCCGTCTCCATGAACAACTGAACTTCCAATTAACAAAATATAGATCTACATGTATACTGATTTTACGTTTCATAAAGCCTTTATCCTCAAAGCATGCGAGTTAAGTAACACACCTTGTTTGATTTTACGTAATACTCTGTCATTGATGTGAAGGAAAAAGAAACCAATGCGATCCAGTCCAAATTTACAGGGGGTCAATCTCAGAAATACCTCGTTTTTTACAGAAAATACATGAACCATGCAGCCAATAAAATCACAACTAAAATCATGCTACAATAATTATTCTTAAGTTAAATTAAAAAAATCATATCAATTTGTATATAACGTGAGAACGTGAAATCAAACATGGTGTGATACTAGCCTTGTGTCTCAAAGTTGACTCATTTTATTAGGATTTTTTCCTAAAACTGTTTCTACTGCAGCCACATTCTACTGTGCCTTACATTATCACCCCTCCCTCCAAATAAAAACCCGATCGTCTTTTTATCAAATTTCTATTATCCATAATGTACAAAAATAAATAAGTAAAAAAAAAGAGAATATCATTTTAAACAGTACACATATACAGATCGTTGATTGATTGATTGATTTTATCTTAACGCCGAGTCGGCAAGCCATCATCGGCGGGTAATCTATATCTGTTGCATGCGAAATACATACTAGTTGTAAACCTTAAGATAGGGAACTACTTAACGTTCCATCTGACGGACTGTAATTTCAAAATATGTAAAAAGATTTCTCTCTGTTTTCAGCAACAAAATATCTCATAATGTACTAAACTGTACCTTAAAAATCAATTTGATGTAAATAATCTAAAATTCTCTTAAATCTAATATTGTAAAATAGAATAATAATTATGCATCGTTCGTATATTATTTACTTAGTATATGAGAAAAACCAGCTAATTTTAAAAGAATATTATTTATAGTTACATGTAGCGAAAATTAAATCACGGGAACATGTATATATACACATTGGCTGAAATTCTCAATTCAATAAATATGCATTTTTGGACGATTTGTGCGTATTCTTTAAAGCCATATATGGCGTAACTGATCAAAAAATATATTTTTGAAAAATACAAAATTAAGTAAAGCAATATAGTTAATACATTTAAATTAAAGCTTTTCATACAATTCTGAACAGGGAGAACATCTCGTTCATCTAATAATACAATTTTATCTTCTCTGTAATGTGTTATTTAAATCTTTTGTATTTTCTTCCGAGTCGGAGAAAATTCCGAGAATCCAAATTAAATTGTGATATCTTTATAACGCAATTGACTTAGATTTTGTAATTTACGGAAAAGTTCTATCTTTATATAAAGTAATGATACAAATAATAAGTTCTTATAATTTTATTCTAATAATTTTCATTGTACATACGCCATATATGGCTTTAAATAATCACTTCATTCTGATGTTTTAGGCGGTAGTCAGATGATTCTTTATTTTTGTTTTTTTAATAGCATGCATAGTTTATCATTATCGGATACCCAAGGATGATCTCATCTTTTCTCATAACCCGGTGATAAGTAAAACCGAGATCACTCGTGGGTTTTCGACGATGAGATGATAGTTTATTTGTGACGCAACATTCCAATGCATTTGAAAAAGAGAATTTACATAAAGTTTTCAAAATATCTTAGATCAAAAAAAAAAAAAAAAATATGAAGGGATTTATATGAATTTCAGAAATGCAAAAATTATAATTTCTTTGTTAATTGGAGTATTAGAAATATATTGAGGGGGAAAAAACCAAAAACACAGGCTATATGTTGAATTACGATAGAAAACCATGTGGCACATTTTCTTTCTTTTAGGATTCAATTACTGCAAACGAACTGAATGTTTAAAAAAGGATTGATTACGTAGACTGCATTGAGAATTTACAATTAAACCAGTTGAAAAGGATAATTAATGCAGATTCAGCTGGGGTGCGTAGGATTCTAAAATAAATCATATCATATTCAGCCAGCGAGGTAGCCTTCTATATGTGTTGACTTTAGAACCCCCCCCCCCCCAAAAAAAAAAAAAGAAAGAAAAATACATTAATTCTCCTCTCTACAGAAAAATATTACTTAAGAAGGCACGCAGCATATGCATAGACAACATTCTGCTATCCCGTTCCTAACACAGACCGCAAAATATATGTAAAATAGACATTTCATAATTATTTGTTTTCTGATTTTTTAAAGAATAAAATAAATAAATAAAATAAAAAATATTTGAGATTTAGAAGTTACATGTATCAGTTTTGGGTAACTCCCTCTCTTAAAAAAGAGAATTTTATAATGCAGAGAACTTTTTGATGTTATATTTTGAAAGTCCTTGTACAAAGCGAAACCATATTCCTGTTTATTCACGAACACGTGAAATCCTGCTCATATCAGCTGAAGATGTTTTTTGCAGAAAAGTTTGGTATTAACGGGGCTCAAAATACTTAACATTATAGTGAATATTTAGGAATACATTTCACAAAGCTATTGTTTTTTTTACATCCAACTTTAAAATAATTTTTTTGGTCTACAATTCTTATAAATATTAATGATGTAGAAGGATATGTTTCAAAAACCGGGTCAATTTTTTTTTATATATTTATACAGAATTTTATTCACACAAAGTGAATAGGATTGCGCAGCAGGCAAAGCCTATTTTATCCCTCTCCCTACAAGGTCAAGATGAACACAATGCCCCCCCCCCCCCTCTTTGAACAATTTCGCCAGCCAAGTTAAAGAAATTTAAAATCATGGATAATCCATCGTCGGTATATTTTATAAACTTGCAAAGTAAGGAGTGAAGTATTTAAGAAAATAAACTGATAAACTGTAAGTAATGGAAGAGAGACAAAAGATAGAGAGAGAAAAAAAAAACCTTTTTAGGAAATGATTCCCCCGTGTTGAGCCTCTTTTTGCGTCAAAGGGAAGCAACTTGCACAATTTATCGAATCCAGTTGCTTCGGACAATGCACAATTCTCAGATAAGTCTACGTGTTTCCGTTTGAGACTTACTGATATATGAAGAAATTGCCCTACACAGTACCAGTATTACTTGTTTCCTGATATCTTTGAATATTGATCTTAGAAAATGCATTTTGAAAGTTGATGAATCGTGGCCTTCGTACATCTTGTACTGGGAATGGCCTCATGTTTTTGTTTTAGTTGGTTAATTCCTATATAAATTTGACATAATAATTACACATAAATTCGTTCGAAGACATGAAACATTATAGTATGTCTAATATAATATTGTGAATATATTAATCTTGAATGAATGAATACACACGATGATAGTAAATGAAGTTCACACATTAGTACTGCATCGATCGATGTGCGATTTTCTGTGCTAGATACGCCTTCTTTGGCTAAAATTTATACTCAAAACTACAATAAAAGATATATTCTGTACTTCCTCAGTAATGTACCATGCCAATTTTGCTTTGCTATATGTCTACCATCTTAATCTTAATCTGGTGTTAGATAAAACCTCACGTCTTCTGCTGGTTGAAAAAAAAAATAAATGTAGATCGGACTCGACATTCCTCTGGCCTGTGTTTACATTGATCCATGGTAACAATAAAAAAGTTAAAAGTATACACGCTATAACTTGCGCCAGTTAAAATACAATTTGAAATTGATACAATTTGTTTATCAATAAAAGTTATGAAAATACTGTAAATTACACCATTAAAATTAAACGCGTTACAAAGTTATCAAATTATAATTATTTATTATCCTGCAAGGAAAGAAAAACAGCTATTTTTAAATAAATCCATCACGTGACGCCGTCGCTACTTTTAGATTGATAAACACACTTGGCGTAAGGAAAACAAGGTAGACCGTTTGAGATACTACTCACTTTTGACGTGGATACTTAATGGTACTTTATCTTTTAATGTATTTCAGTATCAACCATTTTCTCTGTTATGACGCATATTAACCTTACATTAATAATTGTTGTAAAAATGCAACATACCTCGTTGTCTGTGATTTCCCGTGGACATGTGTTTCTATATATAGACCTACTGTTTACGCACTTCCTTTATCAATATTCATGAAAAGACTGAATTTTTAATTCCTAGATATTGTTTAATTGTTTTGTTATTACAAAGACATCTATAGTACAATTTTGTGGAAAGTATTATTTTTCATTACACTTCATGTGTTTTAAATCATTAATCATTTTGTTTTACACAAAATTTGGCGTTCATATAGCGTATTTGACTTTAAGGATCTACGAAGGGAAATACATTTAAAATTTGCGTATTTTATTAGTACTTATTTAAAATGATCCAATTTTTGAAAAAAAAAATCTTTGAACTGCAGTTGACGATGTCTAAAACATTCCTTAACGTGAAAACCATGTGTAGTAAAAATACCGGGAAATCTTTCTTAACTTTATTCGTTTATTTCTCATTATGACGTTGCATAGGATAAGGTCGATTTCTATCCGACGAGGCTCATATATTGAATAGGCTTTGCTCTTAAATAAAATCCTTCGAGGTGGATGTATTGAATAGGCTTCAATAGTATGTCATGCAAAACTTTGATTGGCTTAAAATTTTAATAATTTTTTTCTACTTCATTTTTCATTAAGTAGTGATGAAATATAAAAAAAAAGAAAGATAAAACGGGTTCATATATTATGCTGAACAATTCACAATTGAATGGAAAGACATGCATGAACCTGTGTTTGAATCTGATCGACGAAGGTTGTAAGTATTTAAAATATTTTTAATTGTTAGCGAAAGAAGATAAAAGCCCGGGCATACATGAAGTAAATATTATTTAAATTCCTTCCTTAACTTAATCATCTGGAATGAATGTGAGAAAATAAATGTACGCACACAGATTTCTGAATGCTTTATGTTTTATTTCTGCAAATATTTATGTTGTCATTGAAATTCTTTTTCAATTTAAAATATAGTTTTCTTATGACTTTCTATCATACTTTATACAATCCCTTGAAAGGCATTCTTGAAATCCTGTACTGAATTCTTTTAATCTGAATCTCTTAATTTTAAAATCTTTTTCTCATTTTGCTAAATTTGCATTTTTAATTCCTCAGAATACTATTATAAAAAGAATAAAAGGAAAATTGTTCTTTGTGGACTATAATATGCAGATAATTCCATTGATGCATGGAACTCGTGGATTTCATTTGTTTTATTACACAAGTCCTTCTAAACTCTCGCTTGGCTTGTGGAGGTATCGGGATAGCTCAGTTTTGTTATCCTCTTTTATAATATAATTCCTTTACAATTTGTGGACCAGAGCGGCGGCCATGGTTGGGGAGTGGAGATGTTACCCAACCTATATAAAATGCAACCAAGACAGTCAATATTCAGCTTTCCACTCTTTATTAGATTAAACATTCTATTTGTAATATTTATAATTACAATTAATAATTTTACAAAAGATGCTAAACCATATTAAAACTATAACTACTTATAATATAAAAAGTTAAACTTGTAAATAAAATAAGCCATGTGAAAATTTAATAATTTTGATCAAAACGTGCGCAAGTCTACAAAATAATCTCACCTATATAAAATGCAACCAAGACAGTCAAGATTCAGCTTTCCACTGAAGTCCTGTCTATCCCGGCCAATCATTTTATACAAGGTGTACCTTTATAGATTTACTTTTCTATATTTGTAACTCCTTCGAAATTTGAAATAATTACTTTAAATTTTAGTTTGAATTTTAATTACTATTATACTGACCTTGAGTTCTTTTAAAATTTCTAATGCACTTTTAAAATAATTTCCAACCTTTTGCATAATCTTCAAATATTATTTGTTGAAGCTAATTTATTCAAATATCTGACCTCTGGTCACTTCATTACCATTGGTTCCTTATTCACCCTAACCAAATACATCTTTTCATAAACAAGCAAGTAGCAGCTGCATTCCCATGATCTATTTCGTGGGACCGTCCGATTTAAAAGTTTAATTCCTATTGATCAGCCTCTTTAATTACTTTTATCTGTAGAGCTCGCGTCCGTTATCTTTTGACAGACTAAAACTGCAAACTCATAAAATTTGTTTCATTCTTATATTTACTGCAATTTTTATTATGATAATACTTTTGTAAATACGTTCTAAAAGTCCATGATACGAAGGTTTATATTTTTGCTTAATTTGATGAAGCATAAAGGGGAATGGGTACCAAAGGGAGAGTGTGGGGAACATTTCTAGCAGTTTTCGTTGAAAAATAGGACTATAGTGTAGTTACTGAAATACTATTAAGGAAACTGAAAATATATTTTATCTTCAGGTTTCCTTTACGATCATCTTCACACTTACGAGATAGCGTTTGTGGTAGCCGGTGTAACACCCATTGTAGGAGCAATTATAATGTGTCTTATTCCAAGAGTCCAACCGGTAAGATGTATAAGGAAAAATATTAAAATTCCATAAGAAATAAGTCATACGAGGGTTGATCCCAAAGTGATGTCACAGTGTCCATATCTTTTGTATTTGGCGTCATATAATCAAATACAATATACCAAAAGATGCACAAATATAAATCTAATTAACATTGAAAAATTAATTCATCAATGTTATTTTGAATTTATTTTATAGATGTTTAAAACATAGAGCATGTGGGGGGGGGGGGGTGTCGCCACATCACAACAGAACGTCTCGTTTGAATGTATTTTTTCTTAGAATGTAAAAGACGAACACATTAAAAAGATTCTTATAAGCACCTTATTTCCCAATTTTTTAAAAAGAAAAAGTTCTCGTCATTTTTTAGTTTTTAATTGAAAATTAAATGACGGCATTGGTATTTGTAATCATGAACATTGTTGTTTTACTGTGTTGAATCGAACAAAGGGATTTCGAAATGAGGAAAAACGGCTCGACGAGTTGTAATGCATTTTTGCTTCAAAATATGGGAATCATCACAAGCGACAGTTACGTTAATTAATTAGATTTTCGGAATAGAGAATGTAAATAAGAGACATATTAATAGATGGTTTCAGCAATTTTGGACAGATGTTTGGTCACTGAATGATCAGCAGAGGGCTCGAAGACCGAAAGATAGGAGATCGGACGGAAACGTTCAATGTGTCTGACGTTGTCAAAAAAAAAAAAAAAAAAAAACGGACGGATAGAACGACATGTGAATTAATAAGTTTGTCTCATGCTACTGTTAAAAAATTTTGACAGAGGGCTTAATCATGAAAAAAATGAGTTTATAATGGAACCAAAAATTCTTGAACGTGGAATTGGTGAAAGTTGTTGAGAATCACAAATGTGTTTTAATGAAGGAAAGGGATAACGCTTAAAAGTATGACGGTGCGTATCCATCATATAACGTTATATTTAGGTGCGGCGACTACCATACATGTACAGGCGCATTGTTTAAAATTTGATATTTTTTAAAAATATACATCATATTCCTTTCTATTTTTCAGGTCTAATTGATAAATAAAGCTTCCATCATGTGCAATTTTGTTGCTTTACGACGATATATAGCAATTTTATCAAAGTTATGACATTACTTTGGGATCAACATTCGTATTTATAGACCTTTTAAAAAAATATTAAAGATTTTAATTGAAAGATTTAAACTTTTATTTTTTAAACAATGTAATTGTTTTAAACGTGCGTCCTACTACATTTACTTTAAAGGTGAATATTCTGTGGTTCTTTTGGTTCAAAATATTTCTTTCTAAACAAATTCTCAACAATTTCGATATTGTTTGTTATATTGCTTATGACCATGAAACCCTATTTCAGAACATCCCTAGGCCTGCTAGAACGGAAACACACACGTTTAGTTCAATTGCAACTTTGAATGTTGATCATGCCGGTCAAAGTACATTAGGTACGTGTATAGTGTATCTAATTGATTTCAAAGTCAAAATTTATAATTTTAAGGAAAAATTCAACATAACTCAGTGCAAGCGACAGATCTTTGTTTACAGAATCACGGAATGCATTCCAATACATGTAAATAGACAATATTGTATCGTGATGGCGAAACTTGACTTCAAATATATACAAAACAATTTCAAAAAGAGTTTGTTCCAATGCCAAAATTATTATTTTAGGTGAAATACTACTTACCAAGAACAACAGAATTGAAAACTTTATGATAGTACATAAAAAACAATATATTTTTCACGTCGACAATTCGCTGTGTTAATAATGGTCTAACAATCAGTATGAAAATATCTGTCAGCATTTGACTCAATGATAAATTGTATTTGCTGACAAGGTCATTGTATCGACCATTGAACGTACGAAATAATGATTTTAAACGAGACTGCCTGCAGATTTTCTTCTTTCACCAATTTGTTTGACAATTATTCACGTTTTAGAAATTGTACCTTTGTAAAGCATGCTCTTGTGTATCGGGTCGCCCGCGTGGCGCAGTGGTTAGAGCGTCTGCTCTAGAGTCGCGAAGTAAGGAGTCAATCCTTACGTCGCGGGTTCGAATCCCACTGCGGGACGTGGAGACCGGTCCTTCGGATGAGACTGTATAAACCGAGGCCCCGTGTCGCAGTGGGTGCTGGCACGAAAAAGATCCCTCACTGCTCAAAGGCCCTGAGTTCCGAGCAAAGGACAAAATTCGTAGCCTTCCACCGGCAAGTGGTGGCGTCTCCATATGAGTGAAAAATTCTCAAGAGGGACGTTAAACAATATACAATCAATTAATCAATCTTGTGTATCGAATCAACTGAGACATATAAAAGGTTTATTCCCAGAATGGCTTCACGGAAAAATCAGCAAGTAATTATCACACTCAATTAAAGGGCCCTCTAAATGATACAGGTAGGTTTACCTGTATGAATAATCTACCGGAATTTAAATTAAATAAAACCGATTTTTCATTTAGTTTTTTTATTTGAGCTCTAGTATGAATAAATATTTTTGGGGCAGGTGTAGAATGCCACGTCATAGAAAAAGGTCTCTGAAGCTGCCAAGTCTTTATTTCCATCCTTGAATATCTATTCTGTAGCTTGTGTTGTTCTTCTATTCGCAGCTTGGACTGCATCATTAGGCAGAACAGTTCAGAACATCATTTTCTTTGACACTTATTAAGATAGTTTTGCTTATTAAAATTTCAAAGTGAACTGATATCAATTATCAGGTGCTTCATCAATTAGCTTATTAACTTAAGAATTCCTTAAAAATCAAAGTGATCTCTTTTAATCTCTAATCGTCTATATTTATTATAAGAATTGAAACATAAACTTCTGTATTTTATGATGATTTAAAACAACGTTTAAATACTTAAAGATGATAAATAAATGAATTAAATTAGACAAAATTTGATTGAAACAATTATTTATCATACATAAATATGTTATTTTATGTGTTTATTTAATATTTAAAAGAGTTTGAAAATGTAGCACAAAAAGGGAATAATAGTTTGTAAATTCTCAATCAATACTATTGAATAGTTTGGGAAAAAAAAATAAAATTAAAGGTACAATAAAAAATTATTTTTCTGAAATCTTAATTTTATCTATTTATATTTATCTATTTATTCATTTATTCAGTATATTTGTGAAAAAACCTCTTAATTAAAATAAATTTGTATGAATATATCTGATTGTTAAGATATTGCTTATCCAGGTTAACACAGGTAAGTCTACCTGTACCCTTTAGAGGGCCCCTTTATTGAGTGTGATAATTCCTTGTTGTTTTTCCGAGTAGCCATTCGGGGAACACACCATATAAAACCCGTTTCCAGCAGATGAAGATATTTTATTGCATAAGTTAGGGAAGTTGACGATTAAAAAGTTAAAATCATCACATTGAAATGAAGTTTGGTTGTTAGATTACCAATAACAGCTTTTCCAAGTTCAAAAGATTAAACATTTTGGTCAAACTGTATGGTATCTTTTATTAAAAGCTTACCAGGTACATTATCAAGATAACAATAGAAATAGCCATTATTATTTGACAATACCTCGATCGTCGATTTATCGTAATGTCGAGTTGAAGGCCACGGCCAGTGTGTTTTTCTCTTCAGGTTAAAGATATTGTCCGAATTTTGCTGCAAATAAAGACAAAATAGGACGTTATTTATATATTGAGAAATATAAACATAACATTTTTATCAACTAGTATCAGATGGAGTTTATTTGTAAAATTTTCAGATAGGCAAGCTTGTGCTCTATGATTTCTGAAGGGAAAAGTATCTCAAATATGATGAAATTCTATTAGAATTGAGGAAAAACAATAAAATGTTCTACTTTTGCACCCTCTAGTGGTTTCCATGTAAGCTTTAATTGAGTCCAACTTAGTGCTTGTTTTAAAGCAAGCATCATTTTAAGTTTTTAACTACACACACTTTTACCAGTGTTCTAGTCTTTACATCTAATAAGGGGCCAGTTTTGGCCGTTACCCTACCTTGCCCTTTTATCCTATATTCGGTACTTTCGGCAAATGAACAATGAGGGATATTTTTACTGTCTGCACCTTCTGTTTAACGAGATCTCGCTTTATACGAACCCATTTGAAGGACCGGTCTCCATGTTCAGCAGTGGGATTCGAACTTGCATCGAAAGGGTCAACTTTTGCTTCATGACTCTAGAGCAGGCTTACTAGACACTGCGCCACGCGAGCGACGATTTTGTATGTAATACAATAGATAATTTTAATTATAATAAATGAACTTAAAGTCGTCAAAGTTTAAATTTTACTCTCTGTTTAACTGATTTTAAAGCAAGAAAAATTTATTTCGTGATACTGAGTTCCCAATACAACTGATAAAAAAATTCTTCAAATTACTAGGAATTCCGCCTCCATTTTAAACCGTCTCTCAGTACTCTTCATCATTTTCTACTGATTCGAATTCTAAAGAAAATCTGGACTGTAAAATATTTTGCATAAAGCATAGCTTGTAAAGGATATTCAAGGTGTTTTTTTTTTAAATAAAGTGGCCTTTCCAGAGAGGAACAAAAAATTAACAGGCATATAAAATTCTAAGTAATTCTTTCAAACCTGGACCAGAAATGTTGCACGCTTGTATTTAAAGTTTACAACCAAGTTTGTTCAAATTATGTTTCTATTTTTGTAATGAAGATGTATCCCAAAAGGAATTTTTTTAAAAACAAGAAATTATAACAAATTATAGGAAATTACAGATTGATTTTTCCGAGCGATTAAAAAAAGATCCAAAAATACCCTTTGGTTCCTGTAAATGACAGTGCAAGTATATCTCTAAAGATTAATTTCTAAACGAAACATACATATGTCTTTTTTCCTTTAGTACAGAAGATTTGGAAATGTGGACATTGCTCGACGCAAATGATAAAATTTAGATTTGTCGCCCGCGTGGGACATTGGTTAGAGCGTGTGCTCTAGGGTTGTAGAGTAAGGAGTTGATCCTTCGTTGCGGGTTCGAATCCCCCTGTTGTACGTGGAGACGGATGATACCGTATAAACCGGGGTTCCAGCCCTCAACCGACAAGTGGTGGTGCCTCTATATAATGAAATATTTGAGAGAGAATTTACACAGGAAACAAATATTATCTACGTTCTTATCTAGTAGAAAGCGATTTTAATTATTGATGCGATCATTGTTATTAGTCTTTAAAGATATGCTCTGATTCCTAACAGAGGTTTTCGGTCAAAAAACGAGTTTGCTATTCAATACACACTTCATTCATATAAATGTTTCTGATAGATGTTTTATTTTTCATGTTCGTTGGCTAAAATAAAATGAATTTATTTGTTTGTTTTTCTTTTTGAAATACAAATAACCATATTTTTCTCTTTTTTTCCATACATTTTAAACATGTGAAAATTCAATTCACATGTCATTAAATAAGAGAAAAAGAGAAAAAAAAATTAAAGCAAATAATACAGATTTAAGGATTCTAGTGAAGAAATTTGCAATTTGTAAGAAAATTGGGCACCTACATGTTTTTCTGATAAAGACATCGCTATATATTTTTCTTTTGTCAGAATTCTATAAAATGCAGTGATGATAAAGTGCCTTAACGATGTCTTTCAGTGTAAATAAAGCATTTTCAGATATCATGTGACACACGGCATCGATATATATTATGGCAAAAATAAAATAATTTAGGATATACCCACATGTCATTTCAAATTGTTAGGTCATGAATGAAATATCAAGATAAATAACAAAAATCAAGCTCAAAAGTTTATCAGGACAACACACACTGTATGCAAAGCCAACACAAATCTTAAAAAAAAAACATCAAAGGCGAGATCAGGTACTATGGAAGAGTGTGGATCCTCTGTCAGCCGTTCACACCGTTCACACCTAAGGGTTCGAAACAAAAAAACTATTTAAACAGTTCAGTGAGAAAATATTTGTGTGAAAAAAAATCAGTCAAGATTCAACTAAATGACTTACTTAGTATGATATATATCTGCATTGGATTGATTGATTGATATTTCACTGATATGGAGACGTCACCATTGCCGGTGAAGGGCTGCAAAAATTACGCCTATGCTCGGCACTTAGCCTTTGAGCAGGGAGGGATCTTTATCGTGCCACATCTGCTGTGACACGGGGCCTCGGCTTATACGGTCTCATCCGAAGGACCGCCCCATTTAGTCGCCTTTTACGACAAGCAAGGGGTACTGAGGACCTATTCTAACCCGGATCCCCACGGGGATATCTGAAAGGAGGGCTATTTTCTCGACCCTAGAATTCGCAAAGTGTTGTCTTTAAAGAAACAATGATTTATTTAAAAATGAGAGTATATATCTCTGAAAAAGAAATGAAAGATAATTAAGACAATTTAATAAGAAATGAAAATTTGAGAAGTTTAAAAATGAGACTGACATGACATAAGTCAGACTTGCAATATAGACGAAAAACTAAATGAACATGAAATTTTATTATTATTTTTTTCATATGGGCTTTTAATCTATTACATTAGTGCCAAAGAAATTTTAATGCATGTACTTGTATTTTGCAGATACCCAAGAGAACGAAATTGAAATCGTCTGCGCATGCCACATAAAGCTCCCAAATTCTACAGACAAGGAATATACTACACATTTCTAGTGTTACTGACAATATGATAAAGCTTATAATAACTAAATAGAATTCTTAAACTTAACAAATATTATGCTCTCTGAATTTGCAAACATATTTTGGGAAAGATATTGATTTCAATAATTTACCTTATTCTCTTTCAACCTTTATTAGATAAAACTTCCATTTTTGTTCAAATTAAACAGAACAAACATATCTGGAATTTCATATATTTATTTATTAGATTTACAAGATACAAATATACCCTCATGCAAGAGAAAGCATTTCTGTTGCAAGGTAAACTTGCTTTTCAGATAGAATATGCGTAAACTATGATCCACAAAATTTATTCTTTTCACTGATTTGTAACTTTATTTTCAAATGTAACATTTCAGAAATAAGCATGATATATAAATGTTGCACTAAGTCAATTTTAAAAATAAATAATTCTCCATCAATGAATGATACTTTTATTATAAACTAACCAACATATTTTGATCTGAATATAATGTAAAATGTAAAGATAATGATCAGTTATCAATAAAAAAAATCCAGATGAACTTGGTAATACGTTATATCGCGAATACCAATGAGTACCTCGCAGTTATCTAACTTACTACAGCTCTTTTGCGGGGGAGTCGAAAAAAGTCTACATCTCTGGGGGCAAATGACATTGTTTACAGTAGTGACAATCGAATGATTTGAACAATTTAATGCCGAAATCACGATGTTTTGCCAGATATTGAACTCCAAATAGTAGATTGTCAAATAAAGAAAGTTTAGAATATTTTATCTGCTTAAAAATGTGACGATTTTCAATGAAAATTTAACGAGAAGAGTTCACTTAATTAAAATATCGTTAAAAATGTGACAATTTAGGATTGGCTCCTCTCAAAAATATTTTAGCCTGGTTCAGCGATTGTTTAGCAAGGTATTCCACCAGGATTTTTTACTTATCTGTCCTTATAAGTGCTACAATGATCGATCTTGCATTGTATTGAAAAGCACATTGCCCCCAGCCAACAGACGATTCCTACCTCCTTCGCGAAAGAGTTCCGCTAAGTTAAGTAATCGCGATATCAAGTATTATAACCAATCTTGGAAAGACAAGATGTTGAATCAGGTGCCTAGAAGGTATAAAGCATCCCTTGTCGACCGATTACACCCGCCATCAGCCTAGCCTTGCTTGCTTATTAATTATGTAGTTGATATACAAGTACTTCATACTCAGATTTATAATAAATTTTAAAGCGACACCCTAATAAATGGTGTAAAGAAACGATTATGTGATTATTTGGATCTTTCATTGCATAATGATTACCTTATATACATGTACATGTTTACAGTTTTAAGTACGAATGTCAAAGTTGTTAACGTTTACCAAAAAAAAACGGTTTTGGAATATGTGATCATAATTTTATGCTGATGGAAATCAATATGTTTTGGGGAAGTAGATAGCTGTAGGTAGGTAAAGTCAGGAATACCATCCGGGTTTTGTGAATTCCATTCTTCGATTTTCTTTTTTCTAGTAGAAATAATATTTTCTACATCTTCAAGCTCCATCTGAAAACTAAAAATGCAATATCATATTACCAATGCAATATATTCTTGAAAAATGTTTAATAATGTCATATTATTTGGAAAAAAAATAAGAAATATTTTTTTATGCATTCATATGATATTCAGCTATATTACATTTTTGTATTTATAATTCTGCTATCTGTATATCATGTAATGTGTTAACTTACGCCTTGTACATTAGTTACATGTTTGGTAATGAATTGTTTCAGGTTTTAGGGAATTGTAGCGTTTTGCTTATACATGGACTGCAATCACGTGATAATTATCAATGTTAAATGCATAAGCTGCAAGTGACTGTGCATGGTGCAAATTGTGAAGGAAAACAAACCCATATATATATATATATACACCTTCTAAAATTTTGTAAGACAGAGAAGACAATACCAGGTTGACCATTAAGATGACAATCAAGTGATATAACTCGGATATACATTTACGTCATGTGAAAACTATCTAAACCCTTTCCATAAACACTGACTGTTTTTCGATTGCCTTCCAATTCATTGCATAAATATTTACAGATTATTCAAATAAAGAATGGAGGCGTACAAGGCGAGGACAATCCCCCGCTCTAAAAAAAAAAGACTTTTCTCAATTCTAAAAGTAGTATTTTTTCAAACTTTTATGGTTTATATCATTTTTTCACATCAAATTCTGTATTTCATTGTTAAAATAATTTATTGATAGTATATTTTTCACTCATGTTTTTAAGACATTTGAAAACAAAAAAAGCAAAATCTTCACGTATGATTCGAACTCTCTCCATAGCGTAAGTTGGGTCCAAGACTAACCGGTTTAACCACTACGCTACGAAGTATATGGATTTTTGATGTCTTTCAGTGTGATTTAAATGAACGGGTTTGTTGAAGAGTAAATTTTTCCAGAAAAATTCGATTTTCATATAGAATGGGTTCAGATTCCATTTTTTGGACAAATGAAATAGATTTCGCATTTACATTTTCATCATTTAAGTGTTCATGAAGAATGGAGACTTGACCCATTCATGTTCAAAATTCGTTTTTTATAACTCCATTAGACCCATTTTCCACTAAATATGCTTAACTGTCCATTTTGAAATAAAGATTATCAAATGATAAGTCGTTCAGTAAAATAAAATAATAGAATGTTTTGAAGATGACATTACTGAGAACATGATTTAAAAAAAATATAACATTTCTGTGAATTTTGAAAATTGAGAAACATTTTGTCTCAGAGCGGGAGATTGTACACGCCTTATACGCCCTCTTTCTTTTACGGAAATACCCCGGGTATATCTTCTATTTACCAACCTTAAAAATACGCATTAATAAGAAAAAGATTAAAAAAATTAAAAAATATATTGATTATGATTTAACATAATATTAGACATTCAAACAAACAAAAATATAATCCTTTAGTTATACCGCTCTATTATTACGACAACATGTCATCGATTTCGTTTACTATTTTGATGCTAAATTAAAAAAAAAAAAATTCTTAGCAACCTTGCATTTCTTTCAAGCTCTCAGATACCCTAAACAATATTATGATTGTATCTTTGTTAGAAGAGTGTCAAAGATTCGTTTAGAATAGATGAAACCAGATATAGAATCAGGTACTTCGGAGAATAAGTTTCCCTTGTAAACACATTATAACCGCCGTCAGCCTTGTGTATTCGTCAGGAAGCTGGAGTATTCTGTGGTCAAATGAAGCATTAATTTAAAGGAATGGTCTAATAACTGGTATGAAGAAACGATTATTATTTGAATCTTTTGTTGCAATTATATTACCTTCTATATATACTAACAATTTTGTGTACGAATGTCAAAGTTGTTGACTTCTGTACGAAACAATTTTTTAAAATGTAGTTGGTATACTTGATTGTATGCTTGTGGAATTAAATATGTTTTTGGGAAGTAGATATATGTAGGGAAATCAAGAAAACAAAATTTCTAATTTCTAGTAGAAACATGCCACGTGTGGTGTTCTTTCATTCATTAAATCCTTTCCTAGCTGCAGATCTGTAGCTCTCCGAAAAAAAAAATTGATAGACCGGAGAGCTACAGTGCCACCCATTGAAAAAACTGTATATTTATTGCGCACAAAAAAGTGCGCTCGGTTCTCGATTTATTCCTCCATGTTTTTAAAACTGTTATCTCAAAATATTACTAACCGTGTGTTCCTTACATATTCTTTCGCTGTTTCCACAACCAAACATTCCTCATAATTGTTGTTAATAGTCCTCCTGGCCCTGATATTGTAATCATCGAACATTTTGCTTATTTATACTGCCATTTTGGTTTCAAAGATAATTCGGTCCAATATGCTTCGTTCGAATGTCAACTACGAGAGTAATTGATAGAAGATAAAGGAATTTTTTTGAAATTTTTCCTTATTTGCAATTGAGGTAAGAATTTGAAAGAATTAATTTATAACTGAGCGCACTTTTTTGTGCGCAATAAACATACAGTTTTTTCAATGTGTGGCACTGTAGCTCTCCAGTCTATCAATATATTTTTTTCGGAGAGCTACAGATCTGCAGCTAATCCTTTCCTCATATTTTTAATCTGTAAAATTAATCATATTGAAATCTATAGCTTAAACAAATAAAATATTTATGACACATTGAATAATTCATTTTTATGTCTTCATATATCTGTTCAAATGAACTGAAGACATTAATAGTAAGAAACAGTTGAATCACATTAAGGTATTCCATAAGCACGGAATACCTTAATAATAAGTAACAATAGAATCATTTTGATGTCCTCCGTGAAGACGAAAGACCTAAATAATTTGAAGCAGTGGAATCACTAAAAGGTCTTCCATTAAGACGAAATACCTCTAGAACCCATCCATTAAATTATCCATGTGAAAAATGTGAGATAAGTTTTGTGTTCTGTATGTAAAGATCTATTTTTTCACATCATACTCTGAAAGTCAATGGATATGATGACATTCATTTATGTATTGAGATACAAGAAACCAAAACTACCTTGTATTTTCAACATGTGCATGTAAATGGTAGTTGTCTCAATACATATGAAGTTGTTAATCTAAGGTTACAGTGTAAATATGCGATTTATTATCTTAATCAATTTATTAACTAAAATGTTATGTTGATATATAAACCTCGAATAAATATCGTGTATGTAATAGAGATAATTTTAGGATTTGAGACAATATATAAAATCAAATCAAAACACCCAACATGCCCACTATTATTTTATTTTATTTTTAATTTTTTTATTATTTTTTTTATTTTAACACTTTCACATGTACATATAAAATAATTTTCATCATTTGGTACACAATAACATCAGGTCTACACACAATATAGAGTTATGTTTATAGAATGTGAAAGGTGTTTAAAAAAAAGACAAAGAAAATATGAAAAAAACCTTTCTTCTATTACAAATATTACAAAAAAAAAAAAAAAAAAAAAAAATCACTCAAATAAATTATAGGATGTACATGTATATATAAGCTTGTAGATGTAACTCTATTACTTACAATGTATCACAAATATTTTGCCAATGCCTTTCATATTCTTCATATTTACAATTCTTCATCAATAAAAATTTTTCAATCAAAATTCTA